TGGTAGTAGCAAAATTAACCTGGTAGTAGTTTATTTTTGGGTGGTAGTAGCAAAATTAAAGTGGTAGTAGTCTATTTTTGGGTGGTAGTAGCAAAATTAAGGTGGTAGTAGTTTATTTTTGGCTGGTATTAGCAAAATTAACCTGGTAGTAGTTTATTTTTGGGTGGTAGTAGTAAAATTACGGTGGTAGTAGTTTATTTTTGTTTGGAAGTAGCAAAAATAACCTGGTAGTAGTTTATTTTTGGGTTGTAGTAGCAAAATTAAAGTGGTAGTAGTTTATTTTTGGGTGGTAGTAGCAAAATTAAGGTGGTAGTAGTCTAATTTTGTTTGGTGGTAGTAAAATTAAAGTGGTAGTAGTCTATTTTTGGGTGGTAGTAGCAAAATTAAGGTAATAGTAATTTATTTTTGGGTGGTAGTAGCAAAATTAACCTGGTAGTAGTTTATTTTTGGGTGGTAGTAGCAAAATTAAAGTGGTAGTAGTCTATTTTTGGGTGGTAGTAGCAAAATTAAGGTGGTAGTAATTTATTTTTAGGTGGTAGTATCAAAATTAAGGTGGTAGTAGTCTATTTTTGGGTCGTAGTAGCAAAATTAAAGTGGTAGTAGTTTATTTTTGGGTGGTAGTAGCAAAATTAACCTAGTAGTAGTTTATTTTTGGGTGGTAGTAGCAAAATTAAAGTGGTAGTAGTTTATTTTTGGGTAGTAGTAGCAAAGTTAAGGTGGTAGTAGTCTATTTTTGAGTGGTAGTAGCAAAATTAAGATGGTAGTTGTACGTATTTAGATAGTAGTAACGTATATAAGCTGGTCAGTAAATTATGCTGGTCAGTAAAAAAGATTTTCTCCTTTTATATTTATTAGGAGGGCCTTTTTTATTAATGACATTTCGAGAAAAATGCATTCTTCATAAAAATTACTACTTCTAAAATGGTTAATCCGGTTTATGCTCTTTCTAATTTCCGTAATGTTTTAGAGAAAATTAAGAAAATCATGAAAATGTTGTTTTAAAATGTTAATAAAGCACAACATTTATTTAGTTCAATGCTACGAAAATGGTGATAACAGTTATCCGAAAATGTGATACTGCTGCTGTTAAGCAAAAAACATGGCGTTAATCAAAATTAATAATAACCATCAAAGAATGAAATCGAAATTATATTACTATATAAAGGCCTTTTGATTTTTGGGACTTTTTTGGGAAAAAATCAACCATATTTTCATATTTTCTTTTAATTTTCTCTAAAACGGTATGGAAATTTGGAATAGTATAAACGGAATTAAGCATTTTACAACAAGCAAACACCTTTATGAAGAATGTATTGTTCTCAAAATGTCAATAATAAAAACAAATTCCACTTGTAATAAAACAATCCGTGGACATAATTATGTATTATAGATTTAATTAAATTATTTATATACAGGGTAAGAGAAAAACTTAAATGAAGAGAAAAACTTAATATGAATGTGTCATAAACATCTTAATTTCTGAGATACAGGGTGGTCAAAATTTTATTAAAAAAATTTTTTTTTTATAATAGTAACTCTGATTTTTTTACAGGTATATTTATGAAACTTGATACACGTCCTCAGTGTATCAAAGTACCGTTTTTGATGTACAAACAATATTAACGATGTACCAACAAGTGGCGTCCATACGGGTTTTATATTGAATGTTTTTGAAGAAAAAATTGGTACATCGACTTCTCTTAAAATAAAAATTATTTTCAAAATCTCCATTTCTAAATAATTTTTATCTCTTGGTTTTTTTCATCCAAGGCATAGTTTTTGCTTAAATAAAGTCAGCCTCATCCGGTGACTGTTGCGTGGAAATCGTTTCTGCGTCGGCTGGAAAGAAATTAAGAAACAAAACGTTTTTTTTTGTATATCAAAATATGCATTTTGATGCATGGAAGACGTGTACCAAAATTGTGACTGATAAAAAAATTCGAAAATTTTACCACCCTGTATCTGAAAAGTTAAGACGTTTAGGACAGACATTTATATGATATTTTTTTCTTAGAATAGGCTCAAGAATCATCTTCTTAAATATTAGCATGTCATTTAGGATCACCCTGTATTATTTGAATTTCGCCTTTTGTAATGTAATTATAAATTTAACTGTTATTGGCGCAGAAAAGTCAGGCGATTTGATGTTCAAGAACACTACCATATCACTGGTACATATAATTTGCACCTTACCTCTGCTCATTTTCCTTTTAGGGAAGATACAAGAATTGAGCCTGCCTGGAAGTAGCTAATGACGCGACGCTGAGACTAGTGGAGTATTTGAAGCGGCTAGTCGGACAAAAGCGCTACCCACCAACAGATCAATGCATCAAACCAGTGGTGCAGGACTTTCTATGGAGCAGCAGAGGCACAACAGGTGGCGGCCCGTGGTTATTATTGTAGGGAGGTCAATATCTAAAAATATTGCGTCGATTTTTTTAAGACGCGACCAAATTTAATTGGTTTCTTACAAGGTACTTTTACGTTAAGTTAAAGAAAAATAAATCTAAAAATAAATACAAATTATGTTAAAACAAAACCTACCCTTACATATTTAAACAGGTGGTCTAGTGCCATTTCACTAAAAATCTAGTCAATGTTCTTTACACCAATTTTCCACGGTAGGATTTAAAAGACACTTAAATATTAATGTCACAACAATATAAATACATATATACACATACACATTTCTAAAAGTTTTATTTCACATTTTTTTATATTTTAAGTCAATTCTTTCTCTAAACGCTTTTCGAAATTTAAGCAATTGTTTTCTTTCAACCGCACGATTTTACTAACTAAACACCATATGTTGTCTATTTGAAAATATCTATTCCAGAATCAGTCAACAACAGTTCATCATTTATCCAGAACCAGAAAATTATGAATTATTACCTACACAAATTTCGCGCTGCATCTCAAACCCTCGGCTACGACAAAGCTACGGCAACTAAAACTTTTTTTTTTCGATACTAAAAATCTAAATATTGATTTATATTGACTAAACCAAACATTATACGCGATAAACGATACAAGAACCTAGATTGTTTTATAATTTGAGTTTTATAAACATCCAAAGTGCTAAAACGGCGAATTTTTTTCCAGAAATATGACCTGTGAAATCCTGTAATATATTTATATAGAAATAATTCACTCGGTATTTCTTAATCAACTATATTGATTCTCAACTAATAAACAATATTACAAATTACAATAATAACACGCTGGTTTCTAGACAAAGACAAACCGCCACTTTTTATATCGTCTGTCAGTAAACCAAAAAACCAAATGCAATTGTATATAAAGTTGCCTACCTTACAAATCGTTTTATGAATGACGCGGTCAATGACCAATATAAACTATATCTATCGCATCTTAACCTATTATATTTCCTATACATAGTATACCTTCCTTTGTTAGCGTCACGATCCGCGGCACTTTTTTTGTTTAATACGTGTAAAACATAGCGGGAACGAAGGACAAAATGAAATTTTGACCGGCAGTAGAGAAAATGGGTAAAATAAAATGTTTTCAAGCGAAAATTGGGAATAGTTTTGAATATTTTAGGATGAAAAAAAGTGATTTACAAAAAGTAGATATAATTTAAATAAGTTTTTCTACTTTTCTACTGATTTTTTTGGGGGTTTGGTTTGGTTGGGTTTGCTCCATCTAACTATCCCAGTTTTTTCTATAACTGGGATAGTTGTGAAGTAAATTCTAATTTACTTCACAGCCATTGCCAATTCTTTATTATTAAGCTTTAATTAGAATATAAGTCATTATTATTAATTTTCTCTTGTTTTATTTAGCTCCTTATTTACACTTGCATCTCATAATCCAGCAATCTCTACAATTTTGTGGATTATAACATTATAATTTATAAATCGTATTTATTTAAACAAGCAGAAGACATAAAAATGAAGAATGAAAAATGAAAATTATAATAAATGAACTCAGTTGCATAAATAATAAATAAATATTCTTCTTTGATCTTATTTAATATAATAAGGTAATGTTTGGAACAATTCGTATATTTTAGCAATGTGCAGATTTCCTTAATAATGTCATAAATTCTCATCGAATAATACCTTCTTACTTAATACAAGGAGTTATGATTCACCGTTATTTGTTAAAATTTTGGTTATGGGGAGAATCGACTACATTATCAACAGGAGTAGATATATCTATATAAATATATAAAGAAAATCTAAGATTACTATTACTATTATAAATATATAAACAAAAATTGAAATAATGGGAGGAAATGTACAAAAAAAGGAACAATTAAACAGCCTAGCTCTCAACAACTCGCAAATGTATACGATCGCGAGTTGTTGAGGGCTAGGATGATTAATTGTTCCTTCTTTTTATATAAATATATATTTTTTTTATAAATATCTATATACACTTAGATGCAAAAAAAACACAAAGGAAAAATTTTTGGCCAAGGTTAAAATATTATATTTTTTGAAATTTTTAGTCCCATTTCCTTGTTCCTTGACTCCAAAATCCAATAAAGACCTTGATGTAATTAAGAACTGCTTAATCAAAAATCACATTTTAAATAAGCTAATACGAAATGCTCCAAATTGATGCAAAAAATATGATGTAGGATATAATTATTAGCCTTTTTTCTTCATAACTACGAAGTTTCATGCCCAACTTTTTCCCACACATACCCTTTAGGTTGCCCAACCCTTCTGAAACCTATGATTTAGTTTTCCAAAATAAATTATGTATAACAGTATTTTACTGGGTGTTTCCTAGGTGCTGTAAAATATTGATGTTGTCTATTTTTAATTAGTTTTAGAAAGGATACTGGTATAATATTTTCTCTTAATTAATTTAATTTTCGATAAACATCTGATTAGCTTTTCAATTTTTTTTTCATTTCGAAGCGTGTTGTTAGCTGCTTTAATTATGCATTCAATGTTAAAGGTTTTTCAAGTAGACATAAATAGTATAAATCACCCTGCTGGGTGCAAAAACACCCCCTGCTTGTGTAAGAATTGCATATATCTATCTAGTGCGCTTATCTAATAAGGTGTGTCTACAAAAACACTATAATAATATTCAGGAAAGTTAATCTGCTTGGTAGCCTTTCACCATTACTGTTGCATAAGAATAAGCAGCTTTCATAATCTAAAAGAGAAAACAAAATAATGTTAGGTATCCAATTACAATGTTAATTGGTAATCTTAATCAGGGAGGGTTGGTCGTTAAAGGAGAAATAGGTGAACGTTTCGCGAATTAACTTTGTTCATAGTATTTATTATTGAGAGAGTATCTGTTGTGTAAATCACCACCACATTATTCTGAACCACACCCGTGTGTGGCGAAATTTTCCTGCGAGCGGAAAAGATTGTGAGGCCTACATTGTGGCTGGGGAAAAAAGAGTTGAAATGAGGTATTCTTCCGAGCAAAGTTTTAACTCTAAAATTTTGAGATGATTAACATAAGCACGTAGAAAAACCACTAGTCAAGAATCTTCATGACACTTCCTCGCGTGAGGAAGAGCGAGAGAGCGACTCTTTAAGAAGAAAGATACTAGATTTTAACAACAGGATGAAATATCTATCTATATCTCTATCTATGGAGCAGGCGGTATTAAGAGAGAGTAGAAATATAATTAATAATAATAATAAATAGTCCGTGGGTGTTGCTGGATCTCCTATCGGACGCCTCCCTGTGCGAATTGGGAAACGCTCGCCAGATATGGAGGGTACCGGGGAAATAAAATACTCGGGGTGGACAAAAACCAGTAGTAGTCCCTGCTTGATGAGAATCAAAAGTCTAAAAGGGGGTCGGTATACCATTTGTGATTATGCCGACAGTTAGCGTTTGTATCCAAAGGAACAGCTACCCGATAGCGTCTGTCTCCATGTTAGGGGCGGCTAAATTTGGGCAATCGGAGGCCCGCTGGCAGTAGCTCTAAAATGCATTCCCCTATATGGTGTTTTAATGGTAGCGGGGGGGGGGGGAGCGACAATGAGCGTTAGGCGGGGAATACGCGAATAGTAAGACAGTGGGGCCGGGTAGTATATGGATGTTTAGGAAACAGCTTTACGTACAAAGAAAAATACGAAAACCAGAGGCGTGCCGGGGCAGCAAGACCCGGGTCGGAACCGTCGTCGTGATGATTTACCTGCAAACGACAATGGCAACGGACATGGACAAGATACATCGCATACACCAGTAAGAACTCCAGCGCAGCCTGATAGTACCCAAACCCAGACTCAGTCTCAAGTTGGCCTATCTGGCAATGATGCGTCAGAATGTTGTTTTAAATAAAAAAAAACGTTACATCGCATAGTTATTGAGAAAAACAATTTATCGGAGCGATTGTGGTTAGCTTACAAAATTGATGGAGGTGTTACTAAAGGTACCTATACGGTATGGAGGGAAAAAAACCCGGATATTTTCCCCATTAGAACTTAAGCAAAATCGCTCGCAAACCAAAGAAGATATATCGAAAAAGGGAAGAAACTTACAGATATTGAGCTTCAGCAATTAAAAGATGATGTCGATGGTCAATTAAGTAGAACAACCCAACTAGAAGAAATAATTGAGACAGAGTCACAACCGCAAACACAACCCTGTCCTACAGAGAGATGCCAAACAACCATGGAAAAATAAATACTAACAAGATGAAGACGTAATTGGTTTAGGAGGCAAACATATTCCCAAACAATCTTTACACCGATTAAATCGGCGTAATTGAAAGACCAAAGCGAAAACGAATAAATGAAGATAAATTACACAGAGGGTAAGACAAACAAGAATATTATGCAACCAATAATGCTATTAAGATGTTAAAAGGTGACCAACAATTAAATCTTACCGATATTAATAACATTATTATGCTGCATCGCGAGTGTTATAGCTGGTGAAATAAAAGAAAGATGTGAGCCTAAAGCAAAGCACAAGTCAAAGGAACCGGCCTGGAAGATGAGGATAAAGAAAACTATTGAAGAACTGAGACAGGAAATATCTATCATTGTTGAATACAAAAAGGGAGTTACGACAGCTCAAGTACAAAAGAAAGTTGATATGCTAATACAAAAGTACCGAAAGGACAAATGCATTACAGAGATAGAACAAACCATAAAGATGAAGCTTCAGGCCAAAGCACAACGGCTTAGGAGGTATACGAAAAGGAGTAATCATTACCACCACAACAAAATGTTTAACGAAGATACGAAGAAATTCTACCGACAACTAAACAATGAAAACAATGTAATTAAACATCCGCCTACCTCAACAACAAATTGAAGAGTTTTGGCGAGGAATTCTAGAGAACGAGGTGATACATAATGAAAACGCATTATGGATAAGAGCAGAAAGAGAGAAATACCAACATGTCAAGTCAGATTCTTGGCAGGACTTCACTACGGAAGAAATAGGCAATCAGTCATATAAAAAATTAAAATAACTGAAAGCACCTCAACTGGAAAGCACCGTAGGACCAGACAATCACAAAAATGTTTGGCTAAAAGCAGTATTACCTCGCTGCATGCAGGACCTAACAAATGCTATTAACGAAACTATCAAGAATCCTAATAATGCACGACAATGGCTTACCACCGGTAATACATTCTTATCTCTAAAGGAAAAGACACCAAAGATCCGAAAAATTATCGGCCGATAACCTGCCTACCTACTATATTCAAGTATTAGAGCAGCAGCATCATTACGAACCGCATAAACTCCCATGTTAATTGCACATCAAAATTCTTCCAGATGACAGAAAGGACTGCGAAGACTTCTGAGAGGTTGCAAGACCAAGTGTACTGCAGTAAATGGTGGTATCGTACTGCGAAAAGCAAACGAACACTGCGCTTGGACTGGGCCTGGCATGGATAGATTATAAGAAAGCATTCGATGGGAATCAGTGGGTACCTAATTCATTCGCGGATATCACGCATGATGGCAGCTATCGTGGCATTGTCCAAATCATATCCCAATTCAAATTAATAATCGAAATGCAAACTGGAAAACCGAGATAGTATTAATTCTATAAAAGGCATTTCAAGAACAGAGCCCATTAAAATCAAAAGAGGGATATTCCAGGGAGACTCCCTCTCCCCACTGCTATTCTGCATGGCATTGATTCCGCTTACCAACATGTTAAATATAGGTCAAAATATAGGTTTTTTAAGCTAGACAAAATAGTACCGAAATAAGTCACCTATTTTACATGGACGACCTGAAGTTGTTCACAAAAGATGAAAGCCAATTACGACTAGCACTCTCAACAGTCAAGGAATTCAGTGATGACATCAGAATGGCGTTCGGACTTGATAAGTGTGCTACGGCAATATATAAAGGTGGCAAGCCTAACTTAAGAAGATAATGTAAAAGTAAAGAGCCGAAAAAACATACGATCAGAAATCTAGGATATTGGTGAGTCTTACAAGTACCTAGGGGTTGAAGAAATGGACGGGATAGATAACAATAAAATGAAGACAAAAATCTCAAAGCAAATACTACCGCTTCGTTCAGTTGTATTGCTGTTGATGAAGGGTTTTGTTGCTGTCGAAAATTAATAAAATACACACAAAGGAAATAAATTTAAAATTCAAAAAAAAAAAAAATATTTTCTGATATTGTATAAATACAAGTGCATATACACCTATACAAGAATTTGTTCCTTAATGATACATATAATATTTATAAAGGAATTGATTCTTGGACCTATTCTAAGAGAAGAACTTCATATGAATGTATGTCTTAAACATCTTAATATCTGACGTAATACAAGAATTTGCATTCTAAAAAATATTTTTTATAATAACTCTGATTTTATAACAAATTTATGAAACTTGATACACGTCTTCTATGCATCAAAATACCATTTTTGGTTTAAAAAGAATTTTATTTATTTCGACCAGTGGCCGTCCATACGGATTTTATATTAAATATTTTTTTGAGAAGACGTGGTACACCACTGACTCAATAAAAATTTTGATGCACAAACAATTTTATTATTTCTACCTCTAAGATTTCTACTACTGGCATCCATACGGATTTTAAAATTGAATATTTTTGAAAGAAAATATTTACCTCACTGACTTCTCTTAGAATAAACATTATTTTCAAAATCTCCATTCATTTCTAAACAATTTTTTTCTGTTATTTTTTTCGTCCGGTGGATATTAATATTAATTGCTTAAAAAAATTGAAGTCAGTTTACTTCAGAGTCAAATCATTAAAATCATTTTTTTTTGTATATCAAAATATGCATTTTGATGCATGCAAGACGTGTATCAAAATATAACATCGGAGATATTTTGTAAAATAAATTAAAAAATTTTACCACCCTGTATCTGAAAAGTTAAGATGTTTGGGACATACATTTATATGAAGTTTTTTTCTCAAAATTGGTCCAAGACTAACCCCCTTAAATATTAACATGTCATTAAGGAACACTCTGTATACGTACATATTGAAATCGGGTTTCCAGGGATTTTCATTCCTATTTACTTTATCAATTTGTAAATTCATCCAAAATCTGTTATGAGTACCTATTATAGAATAATACTGTCGCCATTTTAACTACGGGATTTTTTAAGATTGACACCTGACCTAAAAACGATACCTACATAAATTCCATATCTTAAACGACTTTCCAGTATCCCCAAAAATATATAATTTTGTTATACTCTTCACGCTTTACGGAAGCTGTGAAGATTCTTTGATAGCCAAAAACATCTTAAAGCCTGACAACGAAAAAAATCTCTAATATAAACCGGTATTAATGCACTGATTTTCCCGCATTATTACACATTATATAAAAGGAACGTGGCTATATTGAAATATTTCAATAATAAGCACATATTCGATGATGTTTTCGGTAACAATAAGCGTATTCATGGTGCGCAGCTGTGTTTGTTCCCGGGATTTGTTTAAAAAATGGAATTTTGTCGATCGGCGATAAACCGGGGGAGTTTATTGATAGGTGTTCGCGACCATACAAACAACCATCTCGTAATCGATTACATTATTTCATTTATTGATAAAATAAATGTTGACGAGCATTTTGAATACGAAAATAACAATATAAGTTTACGTTTTGGTGTAAGTAAGTTTACGTAGAGGGTCTCCTATTTTGGTTGAAATCATAAGGTATCTTTTTGCACAAG